AATAGGCAGCCTCTTTCTCCTGCTGAGTAATTGGTGGGTTTGAACTGGCAATCGGGCAGTTAGCAGCCCAACACCAGGGCTCCTTAGGGTGATGTGTAATCGGCTGTCATTGGTATAATGTACTTCACAATTCAAATTACATCAATTAATGTTTTTTCTACATTCTCTGTATTCTTACTCTGAAAAATTTTGTTTACTGAAAATAAGTGGCATCCTCTACGATCAGAATTTGTTTTTTGAACAAGGGCTCAAAAAAATAAAGATTTCTTCTAGGTTCCCTCAACTTTAGGGTCCTAACAAAGAATTCTTGTATAGTAGAAATCCATCTATATAAGATATTTGCTCTTGTTAAGTGCCGTCGAATAGGTTCCAACCCATAGTGACCCTGTATAGTGTTTCCAAGGCGTGAGCTTGAACTGCCTACCTTGCAATTCAAACCAACAATGCAGTCCAGTGCACTAACCCACAGTGCCACATCAAGACTCCATTAAGATATTTAAGATACTTTGTAATATACATAAGGAGCTCTGATAGTGTAGTGGTTACGAATCAGGCTGTGAACCACAAGGTCAGCAGTTCAAAACTACCAGCTGTTCTGTGAGTGAAAGATGAGGCTTTCTGCTCCCATAAATATTGACAGACTCGGAAACCCCAGAACTGACTCCACAGCACATAACCACCACCACTACCACTATGTAACATGAGCTCCTGGTGTGGCGCTGTAGGATCAGCGCTGGACTGGAAACCACAGGTTGGCAATTCAAACCCACCAGCTGTTCCTCAGAAACCTATACAGGGTCACTGTGAGTTGGAACCAACTCAATGGCACTCAACAACTATATAAAATGTAGCCTTGGTAGTATAATGGGTTATGAGTTGGGCTCCTAATTGCAAGGTCAGTAATTCAAATCCACCAGCAGCTCCACAGGGAAGAGAGTAAAGATTTACAGCCTTGGAAACCCTATATGGGGGTCTCTATGTGTTGGAACCTACTTGATGGCACTTATCTATGTAATATATTGGAAATTATGTTTTTAATAAATTGATCTGAGTTTCTTTAATGCACTTATATGTTGGATTATATTAATATTAAACTTAAAAGTATGCACATTTAAAAGATGTTTTATAACTCAGATTGCTCATTTCTGTATTGAATTGTT